GGACCACAGGGAAAGATGCCTAAGGGCCCAGAAATGAGGCTGAACACTGGGGACCTTTCTCCCTGTAGGCAAAACCTACCTGAACAATGCCTCACCATCTGTTTATGTATTTCCTACTCAACTGTCTTTTTTTCTGGATTAAAAAGTACCATAATATAAGGAGATAAAAAGTTTGAAAACTCTCATTACCATTTCATGCTTCTATAAGGTGAAAATTATTTAAATCACCTTAAGTAAGAAGTCTTTGCCATGAAAATGAAGTACCCAGTATTAAAATCAAAGGAAACATCAAGGAAAATATAAAGGTATTCTGTTAAAAATAATAAGTTTTCTTCTTCCCACTTCAAAATAAAAGTGAGTAGTGAGTGCTAGATTGGAATGGTGCTGTCTGTCATGGCTATTTGTGACCCATGTTTCTGGAATGTTTTGAACCCCTCCTTACCTTGTCATCTGCTCTTTAAGTCTGGGCTGATCCTCCAAAGGCCCATGGCCCACCCATGAGGGTACAATAGTAGATTCCTACTGCCATGTAATCAATTACAATAACTTTAGTGATTTGACACAACATATATTAATTATCTTACACTCAGGAGGTCAGGAGTGCAGAGTGTCCCATTCTGCAAAAGTTGGCAGGAGGGATTTTTCCCAGAGGCTCAAGGGAACAGTCTCCACTTCTCCCTTTCTAGCTCTTTCTTCATGTGCATCACCCTGGTTCCCACTCTCATGTCCTCCTTTCATTTGTCTGGACTTTTGTACATCCATTGGGTTCACTGTGTAACTCAAGATAACCCCTCTACCACAGGTAACCTTGATCGCAAGCCCTATTCCATTTGTAGCTATGGGGCCTCTGTACCATAAAACAGCACATTCACAGTTTCTGGAAACTAGAATCTCAGGACCTTCTAGACCAAGAGGCAAGGGTGGATGAGGAAAGAGTAGTCATTACCACAACATGTACAAGGGCAGAAGGGTAAACAGAAGGGACTGATTAGGAGATAAATGCCCAGAGTCAAGCAAGCCTGTGACAAAGCTAATAGTATTTATAGAGGTGAGGGTGGGAATATGGACTGGAGCTAGCATAAGGAGCAGGCTAGAGTCAAGTGGACATGGGCACTGAATTGGTGTGGTGCAGTACAAGGCTGGTATTAGGGAACCTGAGTTTTAAAAGCAAGCACCAACCACACCAACAATGTCCTATTATCAAGTGCCTATTCCAGGCCAGGCACCATCCTAAATGTTCTCTAATCCCTCTGATATGATCCCAACAGCCCTATAAGATAGGCAGAGCACACCCAATATTAAAGATGGGAACTAACACAGAGACACAGGAACAGGCCCAAGAACACTCTGGTTTGGAGACAGACCCAAGTCAGGGTTGTCTGGCTCCAAAGCCAGTCAGATACAGTTTCTCTCACACAACTGAGATGTTTGCCAGACTTCAAACTTGTAATCTAAAATGAAATTTTAGAGTTAGTGAGATTGCTTAACAGGTAAAGGCATCTGACCCGCAAGACTGATACCCTGAGTTTGATCTTGAGAACCCATGGAATGTGGAAGGAGAGGACTGGTGCCACAGAGTTGTCCTCTGACCTCCACATGCACACTATGCTTTGCAGACCCACATATACACATACTATAGACTCACATGCACAATAAATACATCCTTCTGAATATGTTAACTGGTTTCTGCATCTATGTCTCAGGAGATGTGGCAGAGGAGGGGATAAAAAGATTATAAGGACCAGAAAGCATAAAGTCTGCTGTGAAACTATCTCACCTAGAAATGGTGAGATATAATAAGAAGCAAGACCAGAACAATGGCAATAGCAAGGGACATGTTGATGGGGAAAGAGGAACTTCCGTGGGGTATCACTCCTAGATAAAGAACTATTAGTCTTTCCCAAGGATTAACTCTCTTACTTGTTGTCCAGTGCAGAGTGGTCAGACCTAAAACCATTATACACCACCAACAAAAATAGACTCACAAAGAACATATATATATATATATATATATGTGTGTGTGTGTGTGTGTGTGTGTGTGTGTGTATGTGTATATATTCATTTATTTGGTGAACATTTGGTTATATATGTGTGTGAACACTAGAGGGCAACTTTTAAGAGATGGTTGTCTTCTTCCATTACATAGGTTCCAGAGATATGTGTACATCTATATATCCCTGGATATAGATAGATAATTTGTTATATATATATATATATATATATATATATATATATATGTACATATACACATGTAACAAGAATAAAGTAAAAGAAGCTATCAACTTGAGAGGAGAGTAACACAGGAGGGGCTCAAGGGAGAGTAGCTGGAGGGAGAAAAGTGATGTAATCCTATTGCAATTAAGAACATACTAATACACTCACATGCACACACACGTAATGGAAGATGTCATTCTTTAAATATGTTTCTCTTATTGGTTAATGAATAAACCACTGTTGGCAAATAGGAAGGCAAGACAGGTGGGACTAGGATACAAGGAAGATTCTGGGAGATGTAGTAGAGAGGAGACAAGATGTAGGACATGAGAGAAGAGGTCTGGACCCTCTCTCCAGTAAGATAAGACCACATGGAAACACTTAGATTGATAGAAACAGGTTAATTTTTAAGACAGAGCTAGCCAATAAGAAACGCTAATAACCAGCCAACAGAGTTATAATTAATACACTGTCTCTGTGTGTTATTTTTGGAACTGATGTGGCTCTAGAACCAGGCTGACCAGAAAACTGCATATGAGCTGGTGAGATGGCTCAGTGGATAAAGGTAGTTGTTACCAAGCCTGACAATCTGAGTTTGATCCCTGGAGCCCATATAATGAAAGAAGAGAACCAGCTCTTACAATTTGCCCTCTGGCCTCCACACCCATACTCACACATACAATCACATGTGCATCAAATAAATAAATAAACTTTTAAAAAATGAAACTAAATTTTAAAGTGAAAAAATAAGTTTTGGTTTCCTTCTAAGTCTCAATGTGTGGTTTTCTTTTAAGAGTTTCTAACTGTACTTTATGGTAGCTGAAAACTGGTGAGCACTGTGCAAGGTGGCTTGGGCTACTCAAAAGGAAAGGAAAAAAAAAAAAAAGGTTTTCTGAACTGGAAGCAGTTTGCAAATGGCACACTTTGCGGTAAAAAGCGTCTCCTGTATTGCCTGCAGGGTGGTCTAGTGTTCTGAATCTGCCTGGACCTTGAAAGTTATAGACAGACCCTTTGCTTCAGGGTTCCATCACTTTCTCTGCTAACCCCCCTACCACCACCCAGAGCTTTCTGTTCTCTATTCTTTCCTCCAGGCATCAGAACACTAAACAAAATGTTGGGTTCACTTTAACTGCTAGGGGACAGAGGACCAATAGTTAATTTCATTTTGCTTTGTAGAGTTTATTGGATGAATTAAAATAAACATCGATTCGCCTCTGCAGAAAATCCACCCACAGAATGTCTTAGCACTTGAGACAAAGGCAGACCTCCTTCTGGGCTGAAGGATGAAAGGAAAATGCCCTTTGACCATGAGCAATGGGTTCCTCCCCTTGCAGAGCCTCCACCACCATCTCTGGCAGTATCTGAGGTTGATACATCCATCACCTTCCTACACAACGCTGGGTACCACTGAAAAAAATTCAGCCAAACAAGTGAATAACATTGTGTTCTCCCTGAGAGAACTCTCTCGGCTTATCTGAACAATATTAGTCTGTCAGGTCACAAAAGTTAGAGATAATATGCAAGGGAGCAAGCTTCCAAAATAAAAAACAGACCCTGTCACTCTTCTTTAGTGCTCCAGTGGTCCTCCATCACCTGTGGGACTCCCTAAACTCTTATCCAGGAGGGAGACTCTTCACAATCTGTCTTCAGCTGGCCTTTCCAGACTCCCTCTGAAGCCTCCTCCAATGCACAAATAGATCACCCATACTTTCACTCACAGTTTTCAAGTGCACCAAGTCTTCAGGGATTCGTGTCTGCTAGTTGTTCTAGCTGGAAAGCAAATCCTTCAACTCAACCTCCATGCTTTTTCAAGGCTAGTCCTTTAGCAGTCCTTAAGTCCCTAGCTAACTACAAACCCATCCATCCATCCATCCATCCATCCATCCATCCATCCAACCATCGATGCATTTGCCTATTGTCATCATAACAGTTGTGCTGCACACACACACACATACACACACATATACAAACACACATGCATGTATGCATGCACGCATGCATATACACACACACATGCATACTCCTCCTCCTTAACATCATCATGTAAATACATGAAGCTGAGAAAGTATTTCCCTTTACAGTTTCTTCGGCTTTCCTCAGTCACCCTTAAATCAATGCCAGAGTTTCATTTCTCTATGATTTGCATCTATGGGAGTAAATAAATCTGCAAAAGCCAGCCCCTGAGTGTCTGATTTAGGGACCAGACAGACCAGGTTTCAAATCCTGATACCACCTTTATTATTATTTCATCTTATATAAGTTACAATTATTATGATCATTATTCACTTCTAGAAAATAGGAGTACTAATAGATACTTTCTAGAAATATTAGACAAAACAATATTAATTATAATTTGGTTGTTTGGGTGGTTGGTTTTGGTTTTTCAAAATAGAGTTTCTCTCTCTATGTAACAGCCCTGCTGGCTATGCTGGAACTCAAACTCATAGAGATCCGCCTGTCTCCTGAGTGCTGGGATTAAAGACATGCACCACCACCACCCAGCTAAATTAATATAATTAATATAAGGTCACTAACATGGACTCACACACAATGGGTGTTCAATAAACAGTACTATGTATTTCTTCTATAACTTGAAAGTTATTTTTGGCACTTTCTGCTCTCCGCGCGATGCATTGTGGGCATTGAGGTCCACCCCCGCCGCCGCCGCCTGGGGAGGAAGAAGAGGCCTCGACCAGCAGGAGAAGCCGGAGTCGCCTGGCCTGCCACTGCCCCAGTGAGGCCCGCCCACCAGTTCGCCTGTCTCCCCCCCCCCCACCCCACCCCGCCCTGGCCACCATGCAGCCTGCTTCTGCAAAGTGGTATGATCGAAGGGACTATGTATTCATTGAATTTTGTGTTGAAGACAGTAAAGATGTTAATGTAAATTTTGAGAAATCCAAACTTACTTTCAGTTGTCTTGGAGGAAGCAATAATTTTAAGCATTTAAATGAAATTTATCTTTTTCATTGTATTGATGCAAATGATTCCAAGCATAAAAGAACGGACAGATCAATTTTATGTTGTTTGCGAAAAGGAGAATCCGGCCAGTCATGGCCTAGGTTAACAAAGGAGAGGGCAAATCTCAATTGGCTGAGTGTGGACTTCAACAATTGGGAAGACTGGGAAGATGATTCGGATGAGGACATATCCAATTTTGACCGCTTCTCCGAGATGATGGATCACATGGGTGGTGATGAGGATGTAGATTTACCCGAAGTAGATGGAGCAGATGATGATTCACAAGACAGCGATGATGAAAAAAATGCCAGATCTGGAGTAAGGGATGCTGTCATCGCTGGGATCTTGAGACAGAGAAATAACTTCTGCAAGATTTCATAATTGAGAAAATTCCTGAGTTGATAGCTCTAAAGGCAGATGCTGTGTTTGCCTCCTTTAACCCATTTTTCAACCTTTTTTTTTTTTAAGGCTTCACTAAGGGTTGATAATGTACCATTGTATGGGGCAATTTAAGTCAGCTAAGGCAGTATCCTTATGCATGAACATTTCCCAGGATTCCATGAAGCAATTGAAATCCTAGGCAACTGATAGAGCAGCTCTGATGAGTAAACACATTTCACCTAAGTCTTTCTTCATAACCGTTACTTACATGTTAGGAAGCTCAGCTTAGGGAGAGAGAACTAGTTTTAGATCCTAGACCATGGACTTGAAGGGGACTGGAACAAATTGGCTGATATCTTAAACTGATATCCTGCCATTCTTCCAGTGTACCTTTCAAAATTATTCCACTAAAGTTTATTTTCAAAAAAAAAAGTACTTTATTTACATCATTGTATGTGGTCACTTGCCAGTGTTGAGGTGTATTTTAGTTAAAACTAGTGAGTGCCCTAAGTTAGATGGTTTTTGAAGCCTATACATTTGGTATTGTTTGGCCCTTGAGCTCTTACATCTCTTAGCATGGAGCACAAAAAAAGCTATACATTGTTGCTTGAGAGTCTGTACATTTTAGACCAGATTTGTATTTGCACTGTCAGTATGGCAAATGAGTGGAAAATGTTAATACACTATTGGGTTTTTTTTTAATTTCCTGTTTTGATTTCAGCTTATGCCCTGGCTGGAAAAACCTCAATTTTATGTTCATGACAGTGGGGATTTTTAAAAATATCTACATTCCTTCTAATAAACTGTTGAAAGATTTCTTGGCTCTCAAAAAAAAAAAGTTATTTTTGTTTGGGGGATTTTGTTTTATTTTTATTTGCTTCCTTGTTTTTCTGTTTTTGGCTTTTGGATTTGGTTTTTAATACAATAATTTGTTATATAGCTCAGTCTGACCATGAACATAATATTCCCGCCTCCACTTCTGTGTGTTAAGGTTACAGATATGTACTGTCACACCTGGTTAACTTCACATTTTTTAATTAATTAATTTATTTTACATCCCGCCTCAGTTTCCCCTCCCTTCTCTACTTCCAGTCCCTCCCCCATCCCCACTATGTCACTCCTCCTCCTCCTTCCTCTTTAGAAAAGGACAGGTCTCTAATGAGTATCAACAAAACATGCCATATAAAGCTGCCGTAAGACTAAGAACCTCCCCATGTATTAAGGATGGGCAAGACAACCCAGTATGAGGAGTAAGGTACCAAAAAACAGTAAAAGAATCAGAACCAACCCCTGTTCCCACTGTTAGGAGTTCCACGAGGGAACCAAGCTACACAACTGTAACATACATGCAGAGTTACATAGATTAGTCCTATGCAGGCTCCCTGGTTGTCCTTCAGTCTCTGAGAGCCCCTATGAGCCTAGGGGAATTGATTCCATGAGTTTTCTTGAGGTATCCTTGACCGCTCCAGCTATAATCCTTTCTTCCCCTTTTCTGCAGGATTCCCCAAACTCTACCTAGTGTTTGGCTGTGGGTCTTTATCTGTTTCCATCAGTTGCTGGATGATGCCTCTCTGATGACTATTGGGCTAAGTAGCAATCTGGTCACAAGAGATGACCAGTTTCGTCTGCATATGTGCTATTGCTAGGAGTCTTAGCTGGGATCTTCCTTACAGATTCCTGGGAGATTCCCTTGTTCCAGGTTTTTACCTGACTCTGAAATGCCCTCCATTCCCAGTAGTCTCTTTCAGTAATCACCCTCTCTATGCCCCACAAGCTGATTGCTCATGTTCCCGTTCTAAAATCCCTTCATGATAAAAGCCTTGGAGAGTTCAGGAATACAAGGGACAGCCCTAAACATAATAAAAAAGCTAGCTGATTGCCAACATCAAATTAAATGGAGAGAAACTCAAAGCAATTTCTCTAAAATCAGGAACAAGACAAGATTGTCCACTCTCTCCATACCTATCAACATAATAGTTGAAGATCTTGCTAGAACAATAAGACAACTAAAGGAAATAAAAGGGATACAGATTGGAAAGAAAGAAGTCTAAGTATTGCTATTTATAGATGGTATGATAGTATACATAAGCAACCAAAACAAACAAACAAACAAAAAAAACAAAACAAACAAACAAAAAACCTACCAGGGAACTCCTATGGCTGATAAACACCTTTACTCAAGTGGCTGGATATAAGATTAACTTTAAAAAAAAACATCAGCAGCCCTCCTATACTCAAATGGTAAATGGTCTAAGAAAGAAATCAGAGAATCAACCCCCTTTACAATAGCCTGAAACAATATAAAATATCTTGCTGTAAACTCTAATCAAGCAAGTGAAAGACCTTTATGACAAGAACTTCAAGTCTCTCAAGAAAGAAACTGAGGAATATATCAGAAGATGGAAAGATCTCCTGTGCTCATGAATCTGTAGAATTAATATAGTAAAAATGGCCATCTTACCAAAAGCAATCTACAGATTCAAAACTGATTTTAATGGGGAAAAATACATCCATCCATGAGGGCCCATTAGGGATTGTCTCCAGGTCCTCCAGCTCATGCCAAAATCTACAGATGCTCAAATGTATTACACACACACACACACACACACACACACACACACACACACACACACACACAAAATTAGCAGTATTGGAATGAAAGAGATGCACATCTGTCCACATGCTTCAAAACAATGCTATGTTACTTTCAATGCTGATACAATGTGAGTATTATGAAGTATTGTCTGGATATGGTTTGAGAGTGTCTTCTAGAGGTTCATGTGTTGGAAAGTTGATCCATAGTGTACCAATATTGAGAAACCTTTAAAAGGCGATACCCAGCCCCACCTCCACCCACAGAAGGAGCCCACCTTCTGGTGCCCTGCTCAGAGCCTCCTAAGGACTGGGGACTGCTTGCAGGGGAGCCTGTCGGGGTGGACCACCCCATCCTAGTCCTGCTTCCTAGTCCTACTTCCTAGTCCCACTTCCACCCATGGGAGAGGATAAGAATGAACATGTTTCTGGCCCACCTTCCAGGGACCCTGGTTGGAGTCTCCTGAGGCCTGGGGATTGAGCACACACAGGGAACCGGTGCCAGCCAACTGGCCTATCCACAGCCTCCCAGCATCATGGTCCTTCCTTAACCCAAGGAAGGAGCTGGCCTTCCAGTGTCCACCTCAGAGCCTTCTAAGAACTGGGGACTGAGCACAGGGTAACCATTCCCAGCAGACCACCCCATCCAGAGTCTGCCAGTTCCCTAGTCCCACCTCCACCCAGGAAGAGGTGAGTCATCAGAGTATTGGATCTGCTTGCACCCACTGGAAGAGAACCTTGGTCCTGTACCCACCAGGAGAGGGAGAGACCCCACTGGTAACCACTGGAAGAAGGGATGGGTAGACGACAGTATAAGAACACAGTCAACAACAGCAAGATCAATATGACAGCACCAGTGTCTAGGGACTCCACACCAGCAAAACCTGAACATCCCAACACAGATGAAGCAAAAAATGAATGACCCTAAAATCAACTTTATGATAGCAATAGAGAGCCTCAGAGGTAATGAGAAAACCCTTTAAGGAAACGGAAGAAAAAAATCAAATAAACAAAAAAAATTCAAGAAATGGAGGAAAAGACAAACAAAAGCTTGCGAGAAACAATTCAAACAGTGCAAGGCTTGAAAACTGAAATAGAGACAAAGAAAAGAAAATTAAAAACCACAGTCTGAGGGAATTCTGGAAATAAAAAAGCTAGGGAAATAATCAGGAATTACAGATGCAAGCATAACCACCCAAATACAAGAGATGGAAGAGAGAATTTCAGACATTGAGGATACACTACAAGAAATAGATTCATTGACCAAAGAAAATCTTAAGTCAAAAAAAATCCCTGACACAAAATATCTAGGGAATATAGGACAAGGTCAAACCTAAGAATAAGAATAATAGGCATAGAAGAAGGTGAGAAAACCCAACTCAAAGGTACACAAAATATATTCAACAAAATCATAGAAGCAAACTTTCCCAACTTAAAAGAAAGACATGCCAATGAAAATACAAGAAGCTTACAAAACACCAAATAGAGTGGACTACAAAAACGTTCCCCTCACCACATAATAATCAAAACCCAAAACATACAGAATAAAGAAAGAATATTAAGAGCAGTAAAGGAAAAAGGCCAAGTAGCATATAAAGGCAAACCTATCAGAATTACACCTGACAACTCCATGGAAATACTAAAGGCCAGAAGGTCCTGAATAAATATTCTACAAACACTAAGAGATCACAGATGCCAGCTCAGAATACTATTCCCAGCAAAGCTTTCAATCATTATAAATGGAAAAAAACAAGATATTCCATGACAAAACCAGATTTAAACAATACATATCAACTAATCCAGCCCTACAGAAAGTTCTGGAAGGAAAACTCCAACCCAAGGAAGTCAACTCTACTCACAAAAACATAGGCAATAGGTAATCCCACCTTAACAACAGCCAAAAGAAAAATAAGAGGAAACCCACACACAATACCACCACCAAAAACAAATCCAAAACAAGCAAGAATTAACAATCAATGGTCATTAACATCCTTCAATATCAATGGTCTTAACTCACCTATAAAAGGACACAGGCTAACAGAATGAATACTAAGACAGAATCCATCCTTCTGCTGCATACAAGAAACACACTTCAGCTTCAAAGACAGACATTACCTCAGATTTAAGGGTTGGGAAAAGATTTTCCAATCAGATGGACCCAAGAAACAAGTGGGTGTAGCAATCCTAATATCTAACAAATTAGACTTTAAACTAAAATCAAAAGAGATGAAGAAGAGCATTTTTTATTTATCACAAGAGAAATCCATCAAGATGAAGTCTGAATTCTGAACAACTATGCCACAAATGCAAAAGGCACCCACATTTGTAAAAGAAACATTACTAAAACTCAAATCGCACATAAAACCTCACACATTTATAGTGGGAGATTAACACCTCACTCTCAACACTAGACAGGTCCACCAGATAGAAATTTAACAAAGAAACAAAGAAACTAACAGAAGTTATGACCCAATTGCGCTTAACTTACATTTATAGAACATTCCATCCAAACACAAAAGAATATACCTTCTTCTCAGTGCCACATGGAACCTTCTCTAAAATCAACCCCAATAGGAACAAATAATTGGAATAACCCCCTGTATCTTTTCAGACCACCATTCCTTAAAGTTAGAATTCAACAACACAAATTGCAGAAACCCTACAAACTCATGGAAATTGAACAATGCACAATTGTTCAAGGAAGAAATAAAGAAATTGAAGACTTCCTAGAATTCAATGAGAATGAAGACACAACATACCCAAACTTATAGGACACTTTGAAAGCAGTACTAAGAGGGAATTTCAAAGCACTAAGTGCCCACATGAAGAAACTGGAGAATAGTCACACTAGAGAATTAACAGCACAACTGAAAGCTCTAGAACAAAAAGAAGCAAACTCACCTGGGAGGAGTAGATGCCAGGAAATAATCAATTTGAGGGCTGAAATCAATAAAGTAGAAACTAGGAAAACAAAATAAAGAATCAATGTAACAACGAGATGGTTCTTGGAGAAAACCAAAAGACAGACAAGCATTTATTCAAACTAACCAAAAGACAAACATCAAAATGAAAAGGGGGATATAGCAATGGACACTGGA